CCTGCAACTTATTTTCACGAAGACATAAAGTACAAGAGCAAGTATTGCAGTGCAATGGGATAAGCACCACTTGGGATGCAATTCCTTGCCAAAGCCTGACCTAGCCCTGCATGTTGTGGCTATTTCAGGAGTAAATCCGTGGATGAAAAAAACAAAATCCTTCTCTCACTGTCACTCTGCCATTCAAATAAATAAAGCTGCTTTAACAAAGAAAGATGTAAAACACAAATGCATTATGTCACCTGTTATTTGTTTAGGCTCTGAGAGAGTTTCACAAATTTCAAGGGTAAGTATCAATTCACCCTTACTCTGTGTCATGCCCCATGTTAAATGTGAGATCAATTCAAAACAATCATGACTTTCTCTTCATAGATGCAACAGTACGGTAAGTATGGTAAATAAATTAAGAATCTAGAATCTGAACACAGGCAACTTGGGTTCAGATCCTGTTTAACAAGTTGTATAATTTTGAACAAAAACTAGACAAAAAAGGTCTGCTTTCATCTTTATTATTCAATATAGTTCTGAACATTATAGCCAGAACCATTAGGAAAAAAAAAAGAAATAAAAGAGATAGAAATTGCAAAGATGAAAGTCAAATTATTACTATCTGCAAATGACATGATCCTAAATACTGGGAAATAGAAAGACTATTAAAAGACTACTGAAAAAAAAAGAGAGAGACTATTGAAATTCATAGGCGAGTTTGGTAAAGTTGCAGGATATAAAATCAACACACAAAAATCTATAGCCTTTACACACACAATGTTAGAAATACTTTTTAAAATACTTTTGAACAAATTTAGCGAACGATGTAAAAGATCTTTTCAATGAAAATTACAGAACAGAGACTTCATGGAACAGCAATAAGAGAAGACAGACGCACCATTGCCAGGCATTGTTTTGTTTACACAGTTCCAGCTCTAGGGTAGGGGGTACTGTCCTCCGAGGGCAAAGTAATAGCCCCCACTACTGAAAACTTCAAGGGGGAAATTCCATGCTCCCTATTGGTTTCAAGTCCAGCCTGGGAAGCTGGTGGGGATCTGGGCAACTATTTTGCCCCATGTTGCCTCCCTCCCTTCCGCCAGTCAAAGTGCCAGACTCAATCAGCTGTAGAGTTGCAACTGAATTGTGTCCTGAGTTGGGAACAGCAATAATTCTATTGCTTTCACAGGTCATGGGGTGGTGGCCAAGACAGGAAAGCTTGGAAGGAGGAGAGCAAATCTAAGTAATTCCACTAACATCCGGAAGCAGACAAGGATGTCCACTCTCACCCCCACCTTATACCCTACATAAAAATCAACTCAAAATGGATCAAGGATCGAAGCTTAATGCCTGAAACCATCAAGCTACAAGAGGAAAATACAGGGAAATGTGCTCATACTATATAAATAAAACAAGTGATATGATCCTGTGATCCTTCTTCTGGGAATTTATCCAAAGGAAGTGAAATCAGCATTTGAATGAAATAACAATAAACCCTTAAAACTTGGGAAGAAATCTTCATGATCTGAATTTAGCAAGTCATCCTTAGATAGAACACCCGAAGAAAATCAAAATAGGCGTTATCAAGATGAAAAACTCTCCAGCATCAAGAGCACTATCAGAAAAATGCAAAGATTACCCAAAGAATAAAGTTTTGGCAAGTCATATACATCACAGAATTTCATATCCTGGATATATAATCTTATAATTCAATCACAAAAGAGAATCCTGTTCAGTAATAGACATCCTTAAATAAAAGGACTGAAGTAGACATCTTTCCAAATTAATACAACCGGCCATTATGTTTATGAAAAAATGCTTGACAAAATCAGTTACTAGAAAAATACACATTAACACACAATGTGATGATACTTCATAACCCATTAGGATAGGTACAATGGAAAATAAGCAGGGGCAAGAATGTGGAAAGCGGGAACCTCCACTCACTTTTAGTGAGAATGTACACTGATACATTGCCTATGAGTAACAGTTTGGAAATTCCTTAAAAAGTTAAACAGAATTAGTCTCTAATTCCAATCCTATAAACACACCCAAGAAAGTAAAAGGCAAAAGTTCATGCAAAAACATGTACAGAAATATTCATAGTGGTATTATTCATAATAAGCAAAACCAGAAGAGACCCAAAAGCCCATCAAAGAAAACAAACACACAAAATGTGGTACACGATTCAATGGAATATTACATATCTTATGAGGGAATGAAGTCCACACAGATGCAGGAACCTTAGAGATAAGCCAGGAGGGCACAGCCACACTCAAAAAGGCCTTGTTACATGCTTCTATTTCTACAAAATTGTCAGAATTCACAACCCACACACCAGTTTCTTTTGGTGGGGGGAGGGAAACAAAGAAAATGCTCTGGAAATAGTGACCACGATTGCCCAGACTTGTAAATGTAGTAAAAGCCACTAAATTGTATACTTCAAAAGTATATGTTAAAAGAAAGAAAAAGAAACGGCAGCTGAACACAAAACTTCATATTTAAGAAAAACTCTGCGAGCTAAAACGCTATTTCTATGTAACAGAGAAGACCCACACAGATGAGAACCAAAATAGAAGCCAAGTTCCCAAGTCCCACTGAGTTCCAGCTGTCCAAGATGCCAACAAGGAGTAGCAGGTAGTAGCAAGATTCCCCCCAGGGGCTCTTTTTTCCCCTCAGGCCTGAGAAGAAAACTCCGGCCAAGGGCTCCCTAAAACTGCAGCCTTCTCAGCAGAACCAGCCAGATACACGCACAAGCCACAGTCCCCACTCGTGAAGGCAACCTCTGTGACGAAGAAAATACACAAAACTCAACCTGAACTCCCCAGCGGGCTTTTTCTTTGCGCCGTCGGCCAGGACACCACCTGAGGCGACGCCGCCGACGCTGCCGCCACGTCCGCCTTCGCCGCTGAGGGGCGCGCGTCCACCGCGCGCGACGCCTGTTCCCAACGCCGCCTCAACCGCCCCGCCGCGCAGGCGCCCCGCGAGCCGCTGTGTGGACGCCGCCTCGCGCCAGCCGAAGGCGCGGACGCAGGAGGACGCCGGGAGGACGAGGAGAGCCGAGGGCACGCGAGAGGGGCAGCCACGCGTGAGGGGTGAGAGCCCGGCCTTGGCTCCCCCGGTGTCCGACCAGATATAAGGGGAAACCAGTTCAGTGAAGTATTTCAATACAGTGTATGTATATATTAAAATTTTCAGATAAAAATATTGTAAAGTCCAGGAGAGGGCACAGAGGGAAACTGGGAAGAGACAGCGACTCCAGCCTCTTCCTTACTAGTAAGTTCATTACTGCTCTGTGAAGCCTTTCTTGCTAATGGTAGTTTTATTGTTTTAATAATAAACTCAATAATACCTAGCAATGCTTTTTCATATACTACTTAATAATAATACCTATTTAATACATACGCACTACACAAGTGGCAAAATGATCTCATTTATGCATCACAGCTCTGGAAGGTGTGTTCCAATATTGCTGATAATATCTAATTTTACAGTAGAGGAAACAGGGTCAGGGTTGGTAAGTCTCCTGTTTGAGATTGTCCAGCTTATACCATGGCAGAGTCACGTTTAGATCCAGTCTGCCTGACATCAGAGCCCTTCTCTGGGAATTACTAAACGTGAAGTTCCTGGTCCTTTACTGCCCATGCTGAGATTCCAGCAGAAACATAGTAGCACTCTGATAAAAAAAAACATAGGAACAAATTGAGATAATAGAATATTTGCATATCCAGTGGATCACACCAGTGAGTTAAAAAGTAAGGAGAAAATAAACTCAATTCCAGCCTGCATCTAAAATCCCTAACACCTTTCGGATCAAAGTGTGTTAACCCCACAAGCTCTGATGTCCCACTTCAAAAATCCTCTTCTCGCCCCTGTAGTACTAGGGACAGGGCAGAGTTTATTGTGCAGTTCCTTTGCTCCAGCAGTCCCCGGTGCAGCGACAGTGTCTATTCCTTAATGCTCATCTTCTAGTATTCAGAATTAACTAATTAGTGTGCCTAGCACCAGTGCTGTTACTGCCAGGTTAGGGACGAGAAAGAATCCATTCCCATCCCAGCTAGCTCCGTAGTGGAATTTCTTTTCTACTGTTGGAAACTAAAGTTGGCAACTGAAACCTTATGAAGATCCAGGTGACATTATGCAAAGTCATATAAGGAAAATTACCTCCTCTGCTGCCTTGCAGGGTAACTTTGAAAAAAAAAAAGGTCTTTTCTCCTCTCAGAGCTGGGAGCTTCACCTGGACTGCAAAGTTAAGCATGTTGCGTATACGCCTCGGAGACTGCTCTGCAACTGAGTGAGACCCTGAACTACCAGCGCTAAGAGCAAACACCTATTGCTGCTGTTTTTATTTCAAACGTTAGTTTTTCCTTCCAGCTCCTTTCCAACACCCTTATCTAACCAATTCAGGTCAAAAGGACCTCTTTTCTTTACCAAGACACTTGCTTTTCCTATCACTGATTTGGTTCACAACTCCTGGAAGAAAAGACCCTGCATTTTGGCACTTTGTGTGAGAGGCCAGTACACCTTGCCCTGGGCAAAGGTTAGCGAAGGCACTTACCCTGGGAGAAACGGGTGATGGGAGGATGATGGAATCTTTGGGATTAAACTCCAGAAGGGGACAGAACTGCAAAGGAAAGTGTTCAAGAACTCACTTTTTCCTTTAATCGAAGATCTCTTCGCAGCAGGTAATGATTCAAAATAATAATAATGATAATAATAAGGGGCCCATGCTCTTTCTCACCATCGCTCGTTCCCCAGGCCAGATGATGCCACAAATACTAACATTTCAAAGAATGTGGCTACTACAACTGGTCACAGGAATTGAGAAAAGCGGACGCAAAGAACACCAACTTGCAGCTTGCTTCCGGGATTCTGTCCCTAGCTTTGGGGGACCCACCTCGCCCACTCTTAGAAGTCGGGGTGGGGCAGAGGGGCGGAGTCAGGCCTGAGGGGTGGGACGGGTTGTCCCGCCCTCGGAGGCTGGGCTGGCGCTGGCAGGCGTCTCCGCAGCACTGCGGGCCCTCTCCCACACTGAGCCTAGCCCGGTGGGTAAGTGGATTGCATTCCCGAGCTTAGGGTAGAGAGCAGGTGGCACAACATGGAGCGGGCGCCAGCGTTCCTGAGCGCGGCCGAGGTGCAGGAGCACCTCCGCAGCTCCAGCCTCCTCATCCCGCCTCTGGAAGCGGCACTGGCCAACTTCTCCAGCGGCCCCGACGGAGGGGTGATGCAGCCGGTGCGCACCGTGGTGCCAGTGGCCAAACACAGGGGGTGAGTGCGCGCCCTGTTGCCAAGGGCCATTCGGGGGTGAAAGGGGGAGCGGAGGAGAGGGCGGTGAGTGAAGAAGGCAGGAGTCAAAGGCAGGAAAAACTGGAAAAGAGGAAGAGGAGGGAGCGCTAAAGAGAGGCTTGGGATAAAGAGAGAGCTGGCTTAATCACTGCTAATTAGCCACTTAATTGTGCACTACCTACTGTGCCAAGTAGGTGCTTTACAGGTGTCACCCCATTTAATTCAGCACATTTCTCCCAATAGGTGGGTACCGATTAGCCACCTGCAGGTGGAATCAGACCCAGAGAAGTTACTTGACGTCCCCAAGCTGACTGAGCTCACAGTGGCAGAACTGGAATGATTTTTGGATCCAGAGCCACACTCTGGAAGGCAAAGGCATAGGAATGGGCAGATGGGGACAGTGCCTGTGGGACAGTGATGATGGAATAGTGGAGTTAGAGAAGATTTAATAGGAGACCTCAGCACTGATGGGAAGGTTTGAAGCTGCTACCTCCCTCTCTTCCCTTTGTAGCTTCCTGGGGGTCATGCCAGCCTACAGCGCAGCAGAGGATGCTCTGACCACTAAGCTGGTCACCTTCTACGAGGGACACAGCACCACTTCCACAGTCCCCTCCCATCAGGCTACGGTGCTACTCTTTGAACCAAGCAATGGATCCCTGCTTGCGGTGAGCAACTCCCTATACTGGGGGTGGGTAGGGATGAGGAGGTCTGGGGGAGTGGAGCGACCGGGAGTTCGCATGCCCTCTATATCTGTGTATCCACGACTGTGAGGCTTATCTGTGACCATCTCCCAATTTTCCGTGTGTGGGACTGCCTGAAGGTGACCTCGGCATCAGAGCCCACAGCAGTGGCAGGAGTGCTGCAGTGTGGGAATAACACTATTATTTCCTTCTTGCGTGTCTTCTTGTCATAGATTCACATGCCCGTGATAACAGAGATTGGCCCAACTTGACACAGGAGGAAACCAGTGCTTAATGGGCACCTGTCGACATGGAAAAAAAGGGCCATTCTATAGTTTGTGGGAGTCTTTCCTAAGGTGTATCCAGTGGCCTGTAGCTGGAGCTTGCATCCGCTGTTATTGTTGTTGTTAAGGTGACAGAGACTGTTCCACACTTCAAATGTGCTAACCCTCTTGAAATTTAAAATCACATTATAAGATAAGTAATATGCACCATTATCCACATTTCACAGATGTGGAAACTGAGGTACAGGGCAATAATGCCAACTATCCAGATATTTGTACCTAATAAGGATGAAGGTAACTGTAAGAAGTTCATGTATAATGCATATTATTTCGTTTAAATGTGCATGTACATCAAAAAATGCACCAAAATGTTATCTTTTAATTTCATTTCCTACCAGCTTCATAACATCGCTGAGCTTCATGCATGCTCAGGCTGTGTCCAAGGCTGTAACCTCTAGTGCCTTTTAAATTGTCACTTATTGAGCCCTTATCAGCCAGGGCGGAAATATAATTGATCATGACAAATTCATCCGTGGAAATTTTTGTTGTTTCCCCTTCCCAGTTTCTGATGAGGTCTCTGAGACCGATTCTCGGAGCCACTTTACTTGAGCTGATTACTGAAAGACCCAAGAATCACTCCTACGCCGTCTACTGTGGAATTCATGCTGATAAATCTTATGATCTATGTTCTGCAAACTGGCTGTTAGACCCTACTTATTATTCTCCTTGAATTTCTGGCTCTGTAAGGAATCTATCTGGCACTCCTCTGAACAGAGAATCTAGCCCTTCCCAATCTGTACTCATCCAATTTAGGTGCCATCCTAACTACCTACCAACAGTGGTTCCCCCAGGACAGTAGGACCTGGACCTTTGAAACTCAACCATAGGACTTTAGATCTTTGCTCAGTCTGCTCAGTAGCTATGTGTTATAGTTCCTCACCTGTAAAGTGAGAATAATGTCTGCCTTCTAAGGTCAGCAAGGGTGGGTAACTTATTATCAGACTACAGTGCAAAGGATGGTTATTAATATTAGCCATGCATAATACTTAGATTTTACTGTAACAGAATCACCTAGGAAGCTTATAAAAATAAGCTTCCCCTAAAGATGCAAATTTAGTTGTTCTAAGGGTGTTGTCTTAGTGTCTATTTCTTCACAAGCTCCCCACATGGGTACAGTTGAGAACCACGAATGTGATCTTTCATGACCCTTCTCCAAATGTCAGTGGCAGTTATATTCCACAACATCCTTATTTGGGTATTTTGAGATTCCTAGAGCTCAATTATTGGCCAGTTTGAGGGCGTCCCATAAGCTGGATGCATCCATGTGGACCTGTGTGTTTGATACTCACACCAAGCCTCTTAATTATTAGGAATATTTTGTTTCTACAGATAAGGAAATCAGTTCTGAGAGACGAAAATGTTCAAAATTATGTCTCAGGAATGGAGGAAATTGCTATGAATCTGACTCCATGGTCAAGTCTTTTTTGTAGGATTCTGTAAAAAGTTTCCAGAGCTGCTTTTCCAGAACCACCTCATCAGTTTATGTGGTGGACAGGGATGCCCTTGCTGACTGCCTCTCCTTCTCTCCAAGGTCATGGATGGAAATGTCATAACTGCGAAGAGAACAGCTGCTGTGTCTGCCATTGCCACCAAGGTAAGAGGAGCGGTTTGCTGTGCTGTCAAGATGAGCTGGTGAGTCGGGTTGGGGCATCTCAGTCTCGAGAGAATAAGGGAGAAGTGAGGACCGTGTTCTGGTTTTCCTGTGGACATAGCTGGGACTGCACATGCCAAGTATAAGATGTCAGGTGGACACAATGGCCAGTGGAATTATTAGCTGTCATTTGCTATACAGGACCAGATTTAAAGCACGTTGCCTCTATCATTCCTTATCTTCCAATCAAAATTAGTATCTCCATCTGCTGAGCTTAGAGATTGTGGCTCGGAGAGATGGTGTGACGTTTCCAGGGTTGTACAGCTTATGCATGATGGAATCTAAAATAATTTAAATCGTGACCTGTCTGATTCCTGGGACTGTGTTTCTACCTTTGTATTAAACAACTCCTGATTGCTCCATGGGTCAGAACCAGTACTGCACAAGAGACACCGGGTGGACAGACACTTCTGAGGCAGATTGACTTGCTTACCCAGCGTGTGCTGACAGTGTTACTGTGTCAGGTGCTCTTCTAACTACTAAGGCTACAGCAGTGAGCAAGACAGTGACACACACAAGGAAGGTGGACAAAAGACATGTTTAAAGAGTGAAACTGTATGTCACATAATGCAATGTAATTAATTTAAAAAAAGAGTGAAACCATGACTTTCTTTAAAAAAAAACTTTTAAGCTCAAGAGTGTTAATAATCATAACCAAGCTGTTAATATATTTAATAATTATGTAATTATTAAGAAGTAATAGTGTGGGCCTGGTGCAATAGCCTAGTGGCTAAAGTCCTCATCTTACATGCATCAGGATCCCATATGGGTGCCAGTTCTAATCCTGGCAGTCCCACTTCCCATCCATCTCCCCGTTTGTGGCCTGGGAAAGCAAGACCTTGGGACCCTGTACCTGTGTGGGAGAAACTCCGGGCTCCTAGCTTTGGATTGGCTCAGCTCCAGCCATTGTGGCCACTCCAACTGTTGCAGCCACTTGGGGGAGTGAATTAGCATATGGAAGATCTTCCTGTCTGTCTCCTCCTCCTCTCTATATATCTGCCATTCCAATTAGAGTAAATAAATCTTAAAAGAAGAAGAAGTAACAATTTTTAGATTTTGCTATAAGTAAAATGCACAAAACCACATTGGATGCTAGAAAGATGATTATAAAGCAGCATGGAGAGGTATTGGGAGCGGGGGTGGGATGCATTTAACATTACCCAGGCAAGGTCTTGCTAAGAAAGCGAACCCTGCAAACACATAGAGGCCATGCCAGGCAAGGGGAACAGCCAGTGCTGGGAGTGATGATGCTTCTAAGCAGTGCTGAAACACTCTACCAGAAAGGTGATATTTTTAGGGTCTGAGGAAGAGAAGGATTAGAAAATGTTGTGTGTGAAAATGACTAGAATCTGGAATCCTTCATGTTGAAGGAATATAAGCTCTTAGGCTGCTGCTTTTCCTGAGCATAAAATTGTAGTGTGTCATGGAGTGGTTGGAGGGGAGGGTTGAGACGGCACAGACCAGGTGTTCAGATGGAATGTCAAGGTTTGCTAGATACACGAGGGTAGGAATAACCCAATAATTGTAGATATGGGAGTAGACTACCATACCCAGCTAAGTGAGCTGGTTTTTAATCTATGGAAACTGAATTAGAAGATAAAAATAAACAAAAGACTCTTTGAGAAGTGTTACTGGTGACTTATGATCAAATGATTCTTACATTGCCTTACATTGCAGAGAGTGTTAATTTCTTTCAAAATAATTCTCATTGTCTGGATTTGGAGTTTTGTGAATAAAGCAGAACAGGTGTTATTATTGGCCTCATCTTGTGCAGACTACAGTTCCCTGAAATCAGCTAAGCAGGTACCTGAAATTGCTGACAGCTGGATCTAGGAAACTAGTTTTTTTTTTTTTTTTTAAATGTCCATAGTCAATTCTGATGACAAACTAGGTTTGGGAATGCACTCTGGTGGACCCAGCCCTCAGGGTTACTGAGTAGGCCTTGTTGAATTAAGAAACACCTGCACTCCCAGATAAATTTAGAAACAAAATTTAAATTTAGGCTGAAAAGTTTAGGCTGAAACTTCCCAGCTTTATTCTTAAGGGCTCTTGTGGGCTATCTCATTAAGAAAGAATCTATGTCTTTATTTTTTGGTCTTGCTGAAAATTTTCTTGTTTACCGGGTCTCTTTCATTTAAGGCTTTGGGGTAAAAAGTATAGGACACTCTGGTGTCTGATGGGCACAGTAACTTCTGTGTGTTTGGGTTGTACATAACTTTAGTTAAGCGCTTTGGCGTGCTTTACTAAGGTGACAGAATTTATCAGAATTTATCCCTGACATGCAATTATTCAATAAATATTGAGCGTCTCCCAGGTGCCAGGCTCTGTGCCCAGCAAGGGACAAAAGACTGAACAAATTCAAATATAGCTTCTGCCATCATGGTACCCAGGATGCATCTTGGGACAAAGAATATTAATCCAATGATTACATTGAACTACTACCCTGAGAAGTGCTGTGGGAGCATCAGATGGGTGGATCTATAAAATTCAGGAAGATTTTTGAGCTCACATTTGAAGAGTAATAATTCCTCAAGAGAAGTAGAGAGGAAAGTATTCCAGAAGAGGGAAGAATCTGCAAAGACAGGGGCGTAGACATTGGCAGAGGCATCTGGGGTCTCAAAGACAGAAAATGCTCAAGGAATGTGACCTGAGGAGGATGGAGAGATGGAGAGATCCTGTAAGCCTTGGTAAACGCAAAAGAAAATGTATTTAATTTGTTTAAATAAGAAACCCTGGTGTATTCACATACAAGTTCTTATTTAACTGCAAACTAATGAGGGGGAAATGAAATGCCACTAATTCTGATGTGATTTAATAAGTCTTTTCTTAAACTATTTAAGGAAAAAAAAAAGATGTCAATGGTAACATTATTGCCAAAGCAACCAATTTTCAAGTAAGGTAACCAAGGAGAGTTTCAGATTTACTTTCCAAAGTTTAAGATCACTTTTACAGAATCCTGTGACAATTTCTGAAGAACAAATACATTTCCAGGAATAGATTCATATTAACTGAGAACAGAAAAAAAAAATGGTAGCAGTTAAGGAAATATTATTCTCTTTTATCAAGAGCATAAAATGGTGGATCTTTTGGATATTTTCATTTTGAATATCATATTCTTTGAACTGTATTTTATGGTGCAGAATAGCACTGCTCTTTCTGTGGTTGGAGTGATTTGAATCTGCAAATATTGCTGAAACTCTCTTTTGTTACTAATTAATCATACAGAAAACTTCCCACTTTTAAAGTTACATGGCAGAATATCAATGAATAGCATCATGAGGAAGCGTAGACACAAAGAGCTCAAATATTATGAAATAGACAAAAAGCAACAAAATGTTCTGTGGAAGGCAATCTTCTTTCCTCTTTAGCAGTAGTTCTAAACTGAAGAAGATTTTACTACCTGCCCCTGAAATGCTCAACCATGTTTGGAGACAATCTTGGTGGCCACAACTAGAAGAGAGGGAGGAACAACAGGTATCTCTAAGCAACAGAGCCCAGAGATGCCAGCCAGCCCCTCTGCCTCTCAGGGCGGCACATTCCCTAACAAGGAAGGAGCCAACCCATAGTTCAGTGGTGCCGAGGTTAGGAAGCCCAGTTTTGTATTTGTAGGTCATAATGTGTATGTATAATTCTGTACAAAAGACTATGTATGATAAATACGTAATAGGTATGTATAATCCTATGCAACTAGATTGCCTCTGTCTTTGTTGGGGCTTACAGCTTAGGACAAGAAAATAAATCTGTAAACAAATGAATACATGGGAAGTCAGAGTTGACGCCTGATGTAACTTGCTGACTGCTGACCTCAAATATAGACACACATCTACTCTTGGGGGGTACCTTAGTTGTCCGCTCTACAGGAACAGAGAAGTTATGCAATGATCCACAAAGAGTGTATCAATTCTTTTGGTTTTTGCACCAAAATAAGTTGATTTTAAGAATATATATATATATAAATTATTATTATTATTTGTATATTCAAAAGGCAGAGTGATAGCAAAGGAGAGCCCACAAGCTCTTTGAGAGAGGTGAAAATAGGACATATGTCACCTGAAATTCAAACTCTAATTTTCACTTTGTCTGTTAGTGTCTCCTTTGACTGTGTCCACCTCTTTTTCTCTCAAATAGTTCTTGAAGCCCCCTAGCAGTGAAGTGCTGTGCATCCTCGGGGCTGGAGTCCAGGCCTACAGCCATTATGAGATCTTCATGGAGCAGTTCTCCTTTAAGGAGGTAAGGCCTGGGGCAGGGAGAAGAGGGAAAAGAACAGCAATGAACTCTGTACTGCTTTACTGGACCATTGGTTATTCAGAAAATTAGGTGGAGAGTCTGAGTATGATCTTTCTTGGGAAGACTTCCCCCTAAGCCCAGGTGGAGGTAGAGAGCCAAAGAACAGTCAGATCACCTCTTTTCAGGTTCCCAGTCCACGGGGCATGTGCCAAGGGCTTCCTCCAGGTCTCCCACATGGGTGCAGGGTCCCAAGGCTATGCGCCATCCTCCACTACTTTCCCAGGCCACAAGCAGGGAGCTGAATGGGAAGTGGAACAGCCAGGACAGGAACTGGGGCTTCACTTGATGGTGGAAGATTAACTAGCTGAGCCATCACATCACCCTGAGAGCGTCTTCAGTCTCTATTTTCAGTTGACGGTTCTCCACCTTGGACTCATCCCTTGAAACCTGTTGATTTGTAGGTCCACAGCTCTTGATAAACTTGGTGACACATATCAGCCCCTAGCATCTTCCAGAATTGTAATTATAGCCACCATTCTTGGCCTTTTCACTGGGTTTATCATTGACCTACTCTTTACAAACCTATACAGTTGTTAGAAATCAAGTTATTTTATGTGGGGCTCTGCCAAAAAAATCATCGTTTTTATGAATCTCGTACCTGCTACATCATGTCACAAGGACTTCATAAGTATGAATCTGATATTCATCTTGCCCGGTTGTCATTTCCATTTTTACTGACATGATAAGCAATCAGAGGCAGCTGCAGAAAGTTTAAGAAAAATTGGTACAGTTAAAAACAACAATCACAATGCATAGACTTCAAGATCTTTTGCACCCCCAATTTTTTATTCTATTTTTCAATAAACATTTAATTAATTTATTTATTTTTATTGGAAAGTCAGATATACAGAGAGAAGAAAAGACAGAAAGATCTGTACACTGGTTTACTCCCCAAGTGGCTGCAACAGCCAGAACTGAACTAATCTGAAGCCAGGAGTCAAGAGCTTCTTCTGGGTCTCCCACATGGGTACAGGGTCCCAAGGCTTTGGGCTATCCTCCACTGCTTTTCTAGGCCACAAGAAAGGAACTGAATGGGAAGTAGAGCAGCTAGGACACTAAGAGGCGCCCTGTGGGGTCCTGGTGGATGCAAGGTGAGGACTTTAGCCTCTAGGCTACTGCACTGGGCCCCTTCCATGCACTTTTTGAAGTGTCCTCACTTAATTTCGGGAACAGTAAGTGACAAAAGCAAAGATTGATTCCCTGCATGCCTGGCCCCAGTCCTCAAACTGAAAAGTAACTGTCGAGCTCTTGAAACTGTGTGTCCAGGGCTAGAACTGAAGAACTTCTACTCTTCTTTTTCATAGAAAGAGAAAGTGGTAGGAAGATCTCAGTTGGAGTCTATTCAAACGCCTGGTGTCTATGCAGATTAACACAGTATCTTTGATCCATTCTTCCTAGGAAATGATTTCGAGAACCACTAACCCCCATCCCAGAGTGATTCAACTTTCCCTTAGCATACCAGGTCTCAGTGGAACCAGAGAACCCAAACTAAGGCACTGATGTCCCTCTTGTTGTTCCCCAATGAAGGTGAGGATATGGAACCGCACTAAAGAAAATGCAGAGAAGTTTGTAGACACAGTGCAAGGGGAGGTACGGCTCTGCTCCTCGGTCCAGGAGGCTGTGACAGGTGCTGATGTGATCATCACTGTCACCATGGCAACAGAGCCCATTTTGTTTGGCAAATGGGTGAAGCCAGGAGCCCACATCAATGGTAAGTGCAGTGACTCTCCATGAGCCGTAGGTGAGTGGTGACCAGCTCCCTCCCCAGATGGCACTCAGGAGCTCAGCTGCAAAGGCTGGTTCACTCACTATGCAGCATAACCAAGACTTTTAAGGATCTTGAAAGAAGATTAGCCCTGAGGGGGGAAAAAATATTTGCTTCAAAAATCTAAAACGAAATTAGACATGAAACTAGCAAAAAAAAAAAAGTATCCTATAAAAGGTAACACTATGGCAAATAATTAAGCATAGTTCAGTTAACACATGAAACATTCTATTTTTATGAAGTACTGTTGTGATGTTTTAGTCCATGTAGATATATGTTGCATAATGTTCAAATAATGGTAAGCATATCTCTCCAAACATTTGCCATTTTTTAGTAATTTAGGGGGGAAGAATTTCCACTGTTCTATGGCATTGAAGGGTGACTATAAAAAATAATAATGCATTGTATGTTTCAGAAAAGCTAGGAGAAAGGATTTTGAATGTTTTCACACCTCAGATAATAAATGTAATGAAGTTAAAACACAAAGGTCAAATTAATCACTTGAATTTTCTCAAAGTTTTTATTTACATTCATTCTATTTGAAAGAGATGGGTGAAAAGAGATGTTCCATCCACTGATTCACTCCCCCAGATGCTAACAACAGCCGAGAGCCTGGAGCCACATCTAGCTCTTCCTCTTGAGTACAATGACCCAAGTCTTTAGGCATCCTCATTTGCTGCCTCCCTTTGTGTACATTAACATCAAGCTGGATTGGATGCAGGGGACCTGGGACAGTGATAAGAGATTCAAGCATCTGACCAGCAGGTGTACCATTATATTAAACAACCCTCTCCTCTAATCATTTTTTTGGGGGGATCAGGACTATAAAACTTTCCAATGGGCTGGCATTGTGGTGTAGCCAGTGAAGCCACCACCTCTAGCACAGACATCCCATTATAGTTCATATCCTGGGACTCCACTTCCAATCCAGCCCCCTGCTAATGACCTGGGAAAGCAGTGAATGATTGCCCAGATGTTTGGCCCCTGCCATCCACATGGGAGTGCCAAATGAAGTTTCTGGCTCCTGGCTTTGGCCTGCCCCATCCCTGGCCATTGTAGTGCCATCTGAGGAATGAACAACAGATGGAAGATGGATTTCTCTTGTTCTCTCCCTCTCTCACTATAACCCTGTCTTAAAAAAAAAACAAAAACACAAAACAAAAACTCACTTAAAAAAATACAGCACTAAAGACATTTCATGTGACATGTGGATGCTTTTTAAGATGTATGATGGGTTGGAAATCAGAGACAAGATTCTAAACATTGGAGTACCTTGTACCTCTGAAGCTCTAGGAGTTATAGCAATAGATATTGTTTATCAAATACTATTGAACTACTGGGTACAGCATCTTGTATATATTGTCTTGTAATCTTTACAACAAGCTTATAAGGTGAAAACTATACCCATTTCACAGGTGAGTAAACAAAGGCAGGCAGAGATTAAGTAATTTACCCCAAGTCACAAGTTCTTAGAGGCAGCAGTGGAGTTTAAAGTGAAGCACTCAACTCTCAGATGCCATGTTCTCCAATAATCCTTGATATTATCTTCCAATTCTGGAGAGCAGAACAGGCAAAGATAAAGGATTTAAAGTCAGTATCAGAGGGCAGGCGTTGAGACACAACACTTAACATCCACTTGGGACACCCACATCCAATACTGGAGAGCTTGAATTTGAGTCCCCACTGAACTCCCAATCCATCTTCCTGTTAATATGCACCCTAGGAGGCAGTAGGTAATTACTGAAGTCCTTGGGTTCCTGCTACCCATGTGGCAGATTCTGGTTTCCTGGTTTCAGTCTGGCCCAGGGTAAATAAATAAAACTTAGATATTTATGTGCCATATTTTGGTTACAGGTACATGATGTGAACTCAGAAGTTAACTCTACATACATGGACAGATGAGTAGGCAAGAGCCCAATAAAATAACACTCATGTACTAACATCTGCTGAATCACTACCATGTACCAGGCACAGGTCCAGAAGCTGAGATGCCGCAATAAACTGTGTACTCAAGGTCACTGATTTCCAGGCGATTACATCCTAGCAGAGGAAGATAAACAACAAATAAACACACACTAGATGGATATTTCTGACTAAAGATGAGACTTTAGAAGAAGTAAGGCACTATGTAAGACAGTCTGATAGTAGAAGGCAGAGTTATAAGGAAAGAGAAAGATCTGTCTCACTTCCCAAAGGGTTACAAGGGGCGAAGCTGGACCACTCTGACATCAGTTTCTTCTGGGTCTCCCACATGGTTGCAGGATCCCAAAGCCTTGAGTCCACCTTCATTGCCTTCCCAGGCCATTAGCAGGGAGCTTGATTGTAAGTGGAACAGCTGGGACTGAAACCAGCACTCATATGGGATGCTGGCCCCACAGGTAGAAGCCTATCTTACTACACCACAGCACTGATTCCTTTTTATGGGCTTTAAACTGCTTGCTGTTCTCTCCCAGCTTCTGTGATTTAGGAATGAGGAGTGAGAGATCCAGGTCCTAGCTTAGGCTCCTGGGGATGAAATCAGGTGCTGTACAGGCTGCAGTCTCATTTAGTGCTCCAGGTCCAGCTTCACCCACTGTGGAAGAATGAGCTGCTTACATCATAGGATGGAGGCCCTGTTTCCCAGGAGCTTCCCTCGGCTCCTGGGAACCTCCCACATTCTTCATCTTGTGGACACTTCTCCCTCTAAGCCTCCCTTAGGCCATGCCCGTCTCATAGTTTGAATCTCTCTCTGGGAAGAACTGGCTTGATTTTGAGGCAAGGCTTTCTACGACAGCTCCCTGGCCTAGGAACAAAACTGGTTTATATGTCCCCAGAGGGATCAGAAAAAGCCTAAAGTCGAGTGTTGCAAGAAGACAAGAGGACAACACCGACTGCAGAGTTTACTTAGTTTGCAGATCAAACTGAGAGGCAGGTGCAATTCCACTGTTCTCCTGCCTTTGCCCTCACAGTACACATCAACCAGTCCTCCAACCCCCCACTCCATCTCACTGCTAGTGAAGCAAGGCCGGAGCCCAGGCTGAGTCAGACCCTGCCGTTGCTGCCTGGTCTCCCTCCAGCTGCCTGAGTGGCCTCACCCAATCCTTTGAGTGGTGACTGTATGAGGGAAACAATGCAGTGCAGAGGGTTGGACTGAGAAACTGAGGTTTCCCCCCACCCCAATGGCTAATGATTATTTACAAGCTTCATTAGTTAAGGCTTTTGTTCACTAGAACTCCCCACACAAAATTTACCTTGAAGCTGGATGTTTTTACATCACTGTTTGAAAATCAGAAAGAGAACAGAAGAGGGACTAAATCGACAAAATTGGAATGTCGTGCAGGAAGGCATGCCAGTGCTGCTTAATATCTATCCAAGGCTTTATAGCTGTTTTCAAAGACTCACTCCCCGGATCTAGCCAGCATGTGTTCGGTTTGGACCATGGAGTGTGGTAGAAATCCAGAAGTAACACATGCCAGTATATTTCCTACTGTTTCTTCTTCTTCTTTTTAATACAAAAGAAACATTGGGATATCCATTCATAGCGGACATGCACTCACACATGGCAACAATTAGCTGGGACTGAACAATGGCGGTCCCCTTGTAAAGGTCCGCTTTCTTCTGTGCACCTCCTCACTCCTAACAATGCTCCAGCCAGTGGCTCTGGCCAACTTGGCTTCTCTTCCTTGCTTGCCTGGCTCTGCAGGCATTCTGTTGCAGCCGTCCCAGTGCCAGGAGGCCTGACACGCCGCATTCATCGCTCTGCTCCCGGGCTCCTCGGATTAGAGCGAGGTCAGGAAGGAGCCAGGTTTCTTCATACTGGGGTTTTACTGGCAACTTTGACGCCAGGCTCTTTAATCAGGAGTTGAGAGAAAAGTGGTCCGGAGGTGAGGAATGGGAATGACTGAAGAGAGAGCAAGCAGACAGAAGATGAGGAAGGTGGGGTGTGGATAAAGCCCCGATTCTCTCTAGAAGTTTTGCTAAGGAAGTTGTTGCCCTGGGAAAGACGTGAAAGCCAGAGTGCTCTCACTGATGTGATGCAAAAAAGTGTGAGGAAATGGAATTAAATGGGTTTTTTTTTTTTGGTACGCAGATTTTTTTAAATCCCTGCACTTCTTTTTCCATAATAAGGCATTTTCCATGGCTTTTTTGGAGATGATTTATATGATTGAGTTCAATTTTCTTTTAATCAAAATACATTTACCTTTTAAAAAAATTGTTCTTTATCTGCAAACAAATTTATTTTTAGAGATCCTCAGTAATGGGTTATCACAATTTCTTTTTTCTTTGTGTTTGTGTGTGTGTCCGCACACATGCATGCACACACAGAGGATGGCTTAGCTCCTTGGGCATCTCCATTTCTTTCTTTTTTTTTTTAAGATTTACTTATTTTTATCAGAAAGGCAGATTTATATAGATAAAAGGGGATACAAAGATCCTGTGTCTGCTGGTTCACTCCCCAAATGGCTACATCAGCTGGAGCTACACTGATCCATAGCCAGGAAACTCTTTCAGGTCTCCCACACAGGTGCAGGGTCCCAAGGCTTTGGGCCATCCTCCACTGCCTTCCTAGGCCATAAGCAGGGAGCTGTTTGGGAAGTGAGGCAGCCAGGACACAAACTGGCACCCACATGGATCCTGGCACATGCAAGGCAAGGATTTAGCCACCAGTGCTGTCGAACTGGGCCTTGTTACAGCAGTTTCAAAGGAAAGAACTTCATTCTTCATCTTAGTTATTTTCCAATACACAGAAATTTTTATCTTTTAATTCCACTTTCCATGAACATTTTGAAGTGCTCTGATAACCTTGATGAGAATCTTCACTTCTGTGTTTCAATTTACACCTGATAAATGGAACTCAAACATTGAAGCATACTTGTGAGAACTATAAATAGTTCAAGCTAAACATCCCTCAGAGAGAAAGCACCCAATAAATGAATGCCAAGTCAGCTCAGATCTTTTAGGAATGAGAGAGGGCACAGAATGGATGAGACAATAAATAGCAAGTCTAATTCTTAATAAATATTCAGTCTTATTGATTAGAAGGGGCTTGGCCTGGGGACAGATGAGGAGTGCTTCAAATCTGGATCTCCCCATTGGTTCTCCCTCCTGTCCCCAAGGAGCCCTTCAGTTTCCCCTTCAGTGCTCAGAGTCTGTTTCGCTGTCCCATAGCCATCGGCGCCAGCAGGCCTGACTGGAGAGAACTGGACGATGAGCTCATGAAGCAGGCAGTGCTGTATGTGGATTCCCAGGAGGCTGCCCTGAAGGAGTCCGGCGATGTCCTCTTGTCTGGGGTGAGCTCCCTCTCACTTGTTGGGGTGTCATGAACTTCCCCTTTGCTTGGCCTGCCCCAGGCCTTGGTCACCAGACTGCTACATGAGGAAGAAACTATCTTACAACCCATTCCAGAAGAATGGCCATTATGGTCATAGCATGTGCCTTCCTGTCCTCTCAGCTTGGTGAGAGAAGCTTGGCAGATTTTTCTACTGGGCTAGTCACTAGGATAGTTGGATTTGGGCCAATCCAAAAACCTGCCCAGTATGGTTGGCACAGTAAGACTCTGGCCACCTCCTGGCTGCCTTTTTCTCTAATGAAATAAGCATATATGTGTTCAGATTAGAAACTGCATGTTCCTCATGGATGGACATAGAAGTGGCAAGGCAGCCTTTTAGGCACAGACTCGGGTCTCCTGGTTCATGCTATCACAAACACTGATGCTACTCAGAGAGGACTCTGGGGGCTAGTGGCGTGATATCATTCACTTCACAATTTATCCTTTTACGATTGCATTTGGGGACAACCTGTGCTGGCTGCAGAGGTGAATCCTGACTTTACCTTCATGCCTGGGTCAATGTGTGTTTGTCTTGCAGGCTGAGATCTTCGCTGAGCTAGGAGAAGTGGTGAAGGGAGTAAAACCAGCCCACTGTGAGAAGACCACGGTGTTCAAGTCATTGGGTAAGAACCATCGCTCCCAGGACCCAAAGCCAACTAGAGCGGAGGAAGGTTTGCCTTTGGGGGAAAAAGAGATGAGTCATCAGGCCCTGTAGTTAAATCATCCATCCTTCCTTCTGGTCAATTATTCACATATCTTAGCATAGCAATTAAGCCCTTGAACCCTGGAATTGTGCAGTCCTGGGTTGGAATCCCTTCTCTCTACCAGACTGCATGTGTGTCCCTGGACAATGACCTGACCTCTGTGAATGAACCAGTTTCCTAACCACCTGTTACCTTGAGTTGTTTGGACAACCAAGATACAAATGCAAAATTATGTGTCAGCAGATCAGGTTTGTATCAAAATGAAACTCAGAAATACTGTCCTTCAAAGGTAGAGGGCAAGAAATAAAGGTAATAAAAGCAGGGAACAGGAGTGGTGGCACTGGGTGAGTTAGCCCACCATCCAAGTCAGAACACTGGTTTAAGTTTGCCCAGTTGCACTTCTGATTCAGCTTCCTGTTAATGGACCATGGAGGCAGCAGACGATGGCTCAAGTACTTGGGGCCCTACTACCCATTTGGAAAACCTGGATGGAGCTTCTGGCTCCTGGTTTCTGTCTGGCCCAGCTCTAGTCATTGTAGCCATTTGAGAAGTGAACCAGTGAGAAGATACCAGTCTTTCTCCCCTACCTTTCAAGTAGATGAAATAAACAAACATGTGGCAAAGAGGTGAAAAGAAGTTTAAGGGAAATGTCAGAGATCCAGCCTGCATGAAATTCAGCAGGAAATACGATCTGAGACAACTTCATTCTCTTCTTCCCTACCTTCCCACTTGCTGCTTCAAGGGGGTTTCAGTAGGACATTCCGTTCCACCTGAGCTGAAGTGGTTAGAAGTCCAGCAAAGGGTGGGCTCCCAGTGGCCTGCCTGCCCCTTGACTCAGCTTTCTCATTTTCCTAGATTTAAGGAGACAGAAGCGCATGGAAACAGGTTGTAGTCATTGCTACACCTAAAAATGTTGAGGTACTCCTATATTTGTTGGCCAATAGCTGCTACCCTGAGCACCTGGCAAGTGCGTTCTCTCTCTCTCCCCAGACTCTCCACGCTTCACAGCTAAGAAAACTGAAAGATCTGACATGAACATTGATAGTGTTATGCCACTTCATTCCACCCCCAGCAATCATACCTTGCAGGCTGTTAAATATTTTAAGGTTGCTCATGCACTGGAACACAGAAATAAGCAAAGGCAGGGTGAACTTTGCCCAGGGTCTGGCTCGGAAGCATTACCCTGATCCAGTTCTGTCTGAATGTTTCAGAGTTCACACCAGATCAGATATCATCCAACCCATCTGGTCCATGAAATCCCCAGTTTCTAATTCTGTGGCTATTTCAGCAACGTGATATTATTTCAAAACTTCTATAATCTGTATTGTTGCTCAATTTAAATTTCTACAGGTGCCTTGTAAATAGGCCAGTGGAACACACATTGCTTCTGAAATCTGCCCTCCCCTTTTGAGCAGTTTTTCTTCTCATCTTTGGAAATTGGGACATCCTTTCATTTAGCAGATGCATGTGAAGCACCATTGGGTATCTACACTGGGTGCAAAGGTGAAGGTCCATCTCCCAACCTATAGTTCGAGTATCCCTTATCCCCAAAACCTTAAGGCCAAAAGTATTTCAGATTTTGGAATATTTGCACCAGGTTATCTCTAGTCTAAAATCTGAGATCTGAAATGCTCTGAAACCCAAAACTCCTGGCGTATATCAGCATTCAAAAAGTTTCAGACTTCAGAGCATTTTGTGTCCAGAATTTCCACAGGAGGGACACTTGTACTAAGACAAAAGGAAAGATGTTAAAGAAAGTAAATTTTGAACTGGGTCAGGAGGTCATGAAACTTTCAGTAGTTGAACAGTAAGTATTTTAGGCTTTATAGTCATATAATCTATATTACAATTACTCAGTTCTGCCCAAATAGTGCAGAAGTGGCTTCATGTTTGCCCTGCTCCAAGTATCCAGCTGGGTTCCAATAAAACTTCATTTTGGAAACTGATGTTTGAATTTCAGATAATTTCCATTCATTTTTAAAAATCACTTGAAAATGTAAACTCCATTTCTAGCTCAAAGGTCATGCAAAAATAGGTGTTGAGCTGGCTTTTGCCATCATGCTGTAGTTTGCCAACCCCTGGCCAAGTCTAAACCTTACTTCCTTTAGCAGCCTTGAAAGAAACACCATTTTCTGAATGGGTTTCTCTTGTTTCATAGCATAATCCCTTTGCTGACCTTCCAAGACTGACCTTTGCTGACCTTCCAAGACTGAGCTTACTCTTAAGTACCAATCCCCTATTATCCTATGGGCACTAACAACAAAAATAACATATCTGAAAACTTCCAGTCTTGGGACCTGGGTTGTTTCAGGGAGAAATTGTACTGATAAATTGTGCTGTCAACGGTATTTCTGTCCTTTCCAGGAATGGCAGTGGAAGACATGGTTGCAGCCAAACTAGTGTATGACTCCTGGTCATCTGCTAAGTAAAGCAAAGAACTCTGTGTCATGGCGCATGTACTGCAGCTCAAGGGATGTTGCCATTTGGTAATCTCATCATTTCTAGATCAAATGGGGGAGTCCAGGCCCCAGTGAATTCTAATGTTGTGCTTATGTCTAACCCTAAATACTGAAATCCTCCTCTTTGTTTGTGGCTGGAGAACAAAACTGAGTAACCATCCCTCCAGTTATAACATCTCTTTTCCTTGTTCTTCACTACCCTTGGTACTTCCCTGTAATAAAGTGTTTTTCTGATTCTGTAGTGCTTGCTCCACTAACTTCTGTTCTTTGTGGCTAGGGCTTGGCGTGATGGATATTTTAAACTTTTTTTTTTAATGGAGGTACAGCTTACATGCCATAAGATCACCATTTCAGAGAATAATTCAGTGGTTTTTAGTGCATGCACCGAATTACAACTACCATCATTCTCCAATTCTGGAACATTTTCATTACCCAAAAAGGAACCTGATGTTCATTAACAATCATTATCCATTAATCCCTTATCTCAATCCCTGGAAACCACTAAACTACTTCCTACAACTATAGATTTGTCTGTTCTGGACCTTTCTTATATATGGAATGATACATTATATAGGCTTCCTAAAATATAAAGGAACAAGCCTCTATATGGGTCAGGTCCTCTTGGGTCACAAGTGGTAGAGATCACAACCCAAACCACCGTAAGATGAATGAATAAATGAATGAGAGATTGAGTGAGGAGTGGAATATGTTGGCACTTGTAATCAACCAGTACCCAGGTACCAGGTTTCAGCTGTAGTTGTGTCCGGGGGTGTCAAGTGTCATCAGGACCCAGCATTATTCCTCCTTCCCCTGGGTTCTGGTTTCTTTAGCTTTGGATTCATTATCAAGCAGATTCTCCCCTGCTGAAGCAGGACACATGCCAGCAGTCCCTGAACTATATATCCTGCTTTCTTTAACACCTCACATAAATATGCTTTATCCACAGTTAGAAGACTCACTGAATCACCTAGGTCATGTACCCATTCCTGAGCCTGACACCACAGCTGAAAGGAATGGAATACTGCTTGCTCTTCTCAGACATGTGCCTGCCACTAAACCATTGTGTTGTCCAGGGGTGGGGATGGGGAGGATTTGATGTTATCCAGGCTTAGTTCACATGCCCATCCTTGAAGTGAGGAGTAGAATCAAGGAGTCTTTTACCCTCAAGAGGGAAGACAAAATCTACAAACGACCACTAGGAAATCTGTCTTGCAAACGCCAGCAGGACTTCCAGCCTCTACCTTCTCAATATACAGATGGGAAATCTGAGTTGCAAAGATGCTGTTTTCTGAATCATTGGTAGAATTACATTGTCTTGTCCTTCCAGGAGACCCTGTCCAAATTTGGCACCTACTTCACCCCAGACTGGCCACCAAATAAATCAGTAGCAAAATAAGACATGTTAGTTTGCTTTATTTTCCTATTCATACTCCTCCTGGCAGGGCCTGTCCATGTTCCAGTTGGCTTAGCCAAAAACATGAGTTTGTCTGGCAATCTAGACAGGGACCTTTGTGTTGAAATAAAGTACTCACCTGGGGTGAGCCTTTGCCCTAGCTCTTAAGTCTCTGATAAGAAGGCCCTTAGCCTACGTTGTAGTGCCTGGGTTTAACCAGATTCCAGCTTCTAATTCCAGCTTCCTGGCAGTGCAGACCTAGGGAGGTGGTGACGATGGATCAAGTGGTTATTGCCATCTACAGGACAGATCTGGATTGAGTTTCTAGCTCCTGGCTTCCACTCTGGCCATTTAGATTTGCTGGATAGGAACTCTGTTAAATAAAAAGCAAAAAAGAAGAGGAAAAAAAATACCACATGATCTAATTGTGCACACAACATGAGAGTTTCTGAAGATATGTGTAGAAAAGAGTGTATGATGAGGGAAATGTTCATTGATTAATTTCTTCCTTTGTTCTGTCCACAAATGCCCCTGTCCTAAAATTGTGTTAGTCTGCTAAGATACAACTGTAAAGAAGTAGGCTTCAACCACTTGAAGAACACACAGTCCAGATGGGAAGAGTGAATATGCTAATTACACTACATTTTCAGGAACAGGGTGTCTGCAGGAAATAGATGACACAGACAGCATGATTGAAGAGAACTTAATGAAGATTAGAAAATAGCACCCTGAGACTAGTAACAGTAGGAAGCTGCTGCCACTGCTAAGCTTGAAAGCACAGCACATGGATGATAGCAACTACAGAAGCTGTAGCAGTGGCTGCCAGACAGCAGCTGAGGGAAGGCAGGTATTTTCCCACAAGAAAGAATCCACAAGAGTAAGGGAGCTCAGTGATGTGACTGAGCCAACCATCTGAGGGACGGAGTGAGGGAGAGGTGTAAAATAGCAAGAGAGGAGATCTGGAGGGGCAAACAGAAGACAACCTGAATAGCTGGAAAGACTTCTCCATCCAAACTACTGGTATAAAGAAGGGGTGAGTCTTAATGATACTTAAAAGATGCTCTCTTGACAGAGAAGAGGAATAGCACCCACCAAAACCAAAGGCAAATGTGGAGAACATTCCAGTAAAATAACAATGGAAGACTAAATCAATTAACAACCCATTGCTAAAATGACAGGACCAAATTACATCTCATCCAAATTAACCCTTAATGTAAACGGCTTAAACTCATCAATCAAATGTCATAGAGTATTAGACTGGATTAAAAAAAAACAAAACCCATCTATTTATTGCCTAAATTTTCTTTTGGGCCCTTTTTGTTGCCACTTAATTTGAAAGATTTAAAATTGTAGAACATGTATAAACTTTTTTATAGCATTATATAAGCCTTTATAACATTATAAAAGCCTTTTTTATAACAATGCTGTCTGATGAAAGTGCTATCTCTTCAGTGTTATGAAGTTGGGACAACTTTTACTTATTAATTCTGTAAATTTGAAGAGGCCTAGAAGAACATAAAAGTGTCTGATGGGACCCACAGGGACCTCCTATAACAGTAAATATCTCCCCTCCAAGGGGTTAAGTTACATAGTCAGGCTTATTTCTCCCAAGTTAACTGATTATTCTCTCCTTGTTATGTAACTTGAAGTGGGAAATGGTACCTCATCAGAAAGATTCTGGGGATTATATGGAGGGGCCAGTCCTGACACCTACAATAATGAGATAAAACAGAAGCAGTGTAGACGATCCTGAATGCTTGCTATCGGCCCAGCTGCTTTTGTGCATGTTGCTCAAGACAAATACAACTTTGAGTTGATCCCAGACCAATTAACCAGAGTATCTGTAAATATAATTATCTCCCAATGCAACACATTTAGTCAATGAGTTACAAGCTTTCTGAATTCATCCATTTGGGGAAACCTGGGCCAATTATGCATCACATTTGAGCCCTTGGATCCTCCCTGAACTTACTTCTTTAGTGCCTCTTGGAGCCCACAAAAGTGTGCCAAAGATAAACAGCTGTTTCTATCTTATATACACAATCACTAGTAAATTCCAATGAGGTAAGCCTGGCCATAAAAATCCAGTGAAGCTTAGATATTCAGCAAGGTTTCAGTTTGAAATTGGGATTGCCATTCAAACCCAGGTTGGCTGCATCCAGCTATACTATGTCCAGTTTATGCTGTAGAAACTAACACATCTTCAGACATGCAGCAATGGTGATAAATAACAGTAAAAGATACATGCACAATATACGCATGGAAATGTCAGACTTTACCTTTATCAGCAAATTTCTCTCTACAATAAGCCTAGATTTTCTTCCCCCCTTTTTAAGTTGCAAGTGTCAACCCTAGAAAAGGCATTAGGTAACATTATTTTTTTCCATTTCTGTTTTCTCTTCCCCTGCCTTCTTGCATAGGAACCACAATTCTCTGCTACGGTTACCAGGACAAAACACCTCAGAAGGAGTGGTTCAAACTAGATATTATTTTTTTTTTTCTTCACAGCTCTGGAGGCTGGAGGTCTGAGACTGAGACGGTATCAGGCTTGGTTTTTCCTGGGGCCTCTCTCCTTCACATGCAGATGGCCACTATGAGATGGTGTTGTGTCCTCACAACATGCATCCTTCCGTGTCAACATGCATCCTTAGCATCGTTTTCTTTTCTTATATGGACACCAAGTACATGAGATTATGGACCCATCCTTAGGATCTCATTTATTCTTAATCACCTATTTAAAGGCCCTCTCCAAAAACAGTTACATTGATGAATTAAGTCCACTTTGTTGGTACGATTCAGTTTCTGATAGGTGCCTTATATTTTCTTTCTTTACTCTTCCAACCTGCCATACGGCCTCTCAGCTAGGAGTATGACAGACCCACTTCCAATATTTGCGAGCGTGTAAAAGTCTGTTAAATGGTTAGATTGATTGTTTCTCGGCCTTTTGGCTAAGATCAAGTGTAGTAAAAGGTTAGATGCACTGAAGTGGGGCATCAAGCCTCAGGCCGATGCCTCCATTGAAATTGCAGTCTCCACCATCAGATAAAGTCATAGAGCCAACAGCAGAACCATAGTTAGAACCCCAGCCTATCACGACTAGAAAGTAAGCAGCATACAAGTATGATGAGAGATTGTACACTTAAACCCAAATTTAGAAAAGTAAAGAAAGCTTCTTTCCCCTTTCTGTCATCCATTTGACCCTTTCTTCATCCACACACATCAAAAAGACAATTGGAGAAAAACGCCATTTTCTTGTTCATAGGTCATCTTTAGTGTCTGGATAATGGTTTATTTGGATGGGGTACAGAGAATTTCCCAGACAAAATTTGGACTTCTTTCTGGGGTAGGCATCTCTAAAACCCTAGGAGCCATTCCCAATGGTCTGGCATGGAGTAGAGAAGGGACGCTGCCTGGAGTGCTTCTCAATGATGCGAGCTCACTCTGTGGACCCACCCCTCTCCATCAGAGACTGGTGTCAACCAGCTGCCCAGGCTGTTGCAGTACTTGCTTCCTTCTATTTATGGCATTAAGAACTTTCTTCCTGGGACCCAAGTGCATTTGGATGTTTTGAAGATCCTCGTCAGAGCAAAGC